GCGGGGCCGGGCGGATGGGGCCCACACCCACTTAGGCGTTTTTTGACGGGCTGTCATTTGTGTTAGTGTGACCGGATCGGTGGGTGCGGGGTGCCAATTCAGAGGCGGGCCCCGGCGTTGCTCGGTTCCCTGGCCTTCGTTTCTTTCGTCGTTGCTCGGGCCTCCGGGTCTTGCTCCTTGTGTTCCCCAGTCCTTCCTCGTTTCCTTGGTCTTGTTCCTTGCCTTCCTTTCCTAGGAATTCCAAGCACTGCCAGGCAATGTCGATGAACGCCCAGCACAGCAGAGACAAAACATGTCAATCAACGCCAAGCGATGCGAAGCAATGCCAAGCAATGTTAAGCAATGTCGGCGAATGCGAAGCACCGCCAGGCAATGCCAACTAACGCCAGCCAGTGCCAATCCAATGACATCCAATGCCGAGCAATGCTAGGCAATGACGAGCAATGATGCCCGGCAGGGCCAAGCAAACACAAGCAGCACCAAGCAATTCCCAGCAATGCCTTGCAACAGTCCGAAGTAAGTCAATTCGAAGCACCGCAGAACAATTCCAAGCCATGCCAAGCGAATGACATTCAATGCCAAGTAATGTTAAGTAATGCCAAGTAGTGCTTAGCCATTTCAAACAATTCCAAGCAATGCTCATGAATGTTAGCCAGCGCCATACAGCACCGACCAATGCAAGGACACAACGAGCGACGATCCCGAGCAATGCCGAATAACGCCAAGCAGTTCCCAGTAATCCAAAACAGTGCGGAGCAATGCCAAGCAATGTTTTGCACTGCGTTGCTTTGCAATGCTCAGAACCATTTTGCATAGCTGCGGAAGAAGGAAAGACCCCTAAATTGGGTCGCGCTGCCATCAATGTTGTTGTTTTGTTTCTTCTTTCTCTCTCTCTTTCTCTATCTCCCTCTCTTTCTCTGTATCTCTTCTTTGTTTATCTCTCTCTCTCTTTCTCCCTTTTTTCTTCCCTCTCTGCACATGTGCCTGTCAATATGTCTCTCTCTCTCTCTTTCTTTCCCTCCCCCTTTCTGTCTCTCTCTCTCTCTCTCCCTCTCTCTATGATGCTGACCTGATTTCTTTGGTATATTTGTAGATCCACATGCAGATCTATCTATATGTATATTATATGGTTGCCAGCGTGGACCTCAAATGTTAAGTCATTGTGGTGTGGATGTGCGTGCCATGTGCTGCAATCGTGTCGTGCAGGCTCTAATGTGCAAGCTATGAGGTAAAACCTACGTTGAGCACTCTGAGTGGTGCAAGCTATGTGGTGCAAGCTTCGTGGTGCACCACGGGTTCTACGTGATGCAGCTATGTGTTGCTAGCGATGTATGGCAAACTACGTGGTGCAAGCTACGCGCTTTAACATTTAGCGCGAACTACATGGTGCAATCTACTTGGTGCAGCTGTGTGGTGCAAACGATTGGGTGTACGCTATATTGTGAACTCTACGTCTAATTGGCGCAGTATACGTGGTGCAAGTTTTGTGGTACAAGCTCTGTGATGTAAGCTAGGTGGTGCAAACTATGTGGTGCAAGCTATGTTGTACAATTCACTTTGACTGTCTTGAAGCTGTCCTCTCCACTGCTCGTGCAAACTTCCCACCCTCCCACCCGCAACTTGGTCTGCAACATCTCTTAAGACCGTGACGGTGGGTACCACATGGCACTTGGCAACGACAGCGACGCCGACGACGACAGCGACAACGACGACGACGACGCCGCCGACAACGACTACGACGACACCGACGACGTCTCCAACGACTTCGACGACGACGACGACGACGACCCGACGACGACGACGACGCCGACGCCGACGCCGACGACGACGACGATGACAACGACGACGACGATGACGACGCCGACGACGACGACACGACGACACCGACGACGACGACGACGCCAACGACGCCGACGACGCCGACGACGACGACGACGACGACGACGGCGGCGACGACGACGACGCCGACGTCGACGACGACGAATACGACGACGACGCCGACGCCGACGACGACGACGAAGACGACGACGACGTCGCCAACGAAGACGACGACGAGGGAGGAGGGAGGACGACGACGGCGACAACGACGACAACGACGACAACGACGAGGGAGGAGGGAGGACGGCGACGACGCGAACGACGAATAAGGATGAAGGACCGCGACGCCGACGACGACAACGACGAGGGAGGAGGGAAGACGACGACGACGACAACGACGACGACGACGACGGCGACGAAATAGGAGGGACGACGACGAGACGCCGACGACGGACGACGAGGACGACGAGGTAGGAGGAGGAAGGACGACCACGGCGACAACGACGACGGAAACGACCACGATGCCAAAGAGGACGACGACGACGAACACGAGGATAGACAGAGGACGACGTAGGCGACGACGACGACGACGACGCGGGAGAAGGGAGGACGGCGACGACGACGACAACGACGACGACACAAGAGCGCGCGCGCACGCTTTTGTTGAAAATCCGTGTTGCGAAACCTTGTGTTTTTGTAGGTTTTTTGGACACGATGTTGAAATCCTTCCGAAGCCGATGGGTTTTGAAGGATTTCGGCATACGCGTGCGACGACGCGCGCGTCTGCACTTCGTCCTGTTTTTTGCAGAGGATTCTCGCGACGGCACACGCGCAAGGGCGTTCGATAGATTTCGACATGAGCGCGCGCGAAGCCCGTTCGGTAGCATTTTGTGACAATCTTGAACAACCTATGGTTTTCTTAGGATTTCGCAAGAGCTCGCGCGTAAGCTTTTTCAGCAAACCAGTGTTGCGAAACCTTGTGTTTTTGTATTTACCTAACAGCTTTTGCTGATACGTTTCTAGTAGGGTCAAAAGAGAGCATCATGACTCCTCAGGGGGGTCTGGGCGGGTGCCGGGGAGGAGAACCGGGAACAGAACCTGGTTCGTTTTAAGCCAACAGTCACACACACTTCGTGCTCTTCGACCTCCCAGAACTCCATTCCCGGGCCACATTTTGAATAACCGCACCCAACAGTTAAACACTTCGTGCTCTTCGACCTCCCAGAACTCCACTCCCGGGCCACATTTTGGATGCCTGGAGCCAACTGTAGGCCACTTTGTGCTCTTCGACTTCCCAGAACTCCATTCCCGGGCCACATTTTGGATGCCCGGAGCCACCTGGAGGCCACTTCGTGGTCTTCGAGTTCCCAGAACTCCATTCCCGGGCCACATTTCAAATGCCCGGAGCCAACTGTAGGCCACTTCGTGTTCTTCGAGTTCCCAGAACTTCATTCCCGGGCCACATTTTGAATGCTGAGGCAGGCTGATGCTGAGGCTGAGGCAGGCTGAGGATGAGGCAGGCTGAGGCTGAGGCCGAGGCTGAAGGCAGACTGAGGCTGAGGCTGAAGCAGGCTGAGGCTGAGGCTGAGGCAGGCTGAGGCTGAGGCTGAGGCAGGCTGATGCTGAGGCAGGCTGAGGCTGAGGCTGAGGCTGATGGAGGCTGAGGCAGGCTGAGGCTGAGGCCGAGGCTGAAGGCAGACTGAGGCTGAGGCTGAAGCAGGCTGAGGCTGAGGCTGAGGCAGGCTGAGGCTGAGGCAGGCTGAGGCTGAGGCTGAGGCAGGCTGAGGCTGAGGCTGTGACTGTGACTGCCGTTGCCACTGCGACTGTCATCGCGAATGCGACTACGACTGCGAGAACAGCAGAATTCTACAACTGGATTCTCATCTGAATCTTAAGGGGAATGCTTCCAGATATGCTCCTACACATCGCTGTTAGGTTGCTTTGCCGGGATATTTTTTGGGAAACTCGATTGCGAAACCCTTCCGACACCGAAGGTTTTTTGTGGATTTCGGCATGCGCGCGCGACGGCGCGCGCGTGTGCACTTCGTCTTGTTTTTTGCGAGTGATTCGTGAACAAGTGTTATGTTAGAACAAAAGATGTCCCCGCGTATTTCTCTTTACAAGGGAACCTCAGGGGGGTCGATACCAGCCCCCCTGGGATAGTGTAAATTCATATTTCGGATGGACATGTGGCCAGAATCATCTTTGATCTACATACCCGAAAGGGGTACGGATAACGCCGGGGGGGAGTAGAGTCTGTTCTTTTTTCGAAAGGAGAATCTGCTTGGTCCAAACAATCTACGTGGTGAAAGGTATGCGGTACAAACTATGTGCTATGTGGTGTAAGCTAGATGGTGCAGGCTATGTGGTGTAAGCTCTGTGGTGCAATCCGCCTTGAAGAATTTGAAGTCGTCAACTCCACTGTTCGCGCAACTTGGCTTGCACCTCCCAACCTCTGGCCCGCAACTTGCTTTGCACACCCGATGCGGCCGCGCTGCGGTGATTACTCGGCGCTGGTTGGCGTATCTGCGCGGCTGTGGTAGCGCACGAAAGTTCGCGCGCAGAGCGCCCAGCTGGTTTCGCACAACCGACGCGGCCGCGATGGCGCTTACCGGGGGGAGCTCCCCAGCACGTCTCACGGGCCGCGCTATTTTGCGGTCTCTTCAGTGCGGGTCGGTGACTCGGGCGGGCGCGGGCCGGTGACGAAGGTGATTGGCCGCTTGCGGCAGCCGTGGAAGCGATTGTACATGGCCATGACGTGATGTGGCGAAACTGATGAGGGTGATGGTGTGAAAGTGCTTGTGCGGAAACGCGCGACATCTGGCAGTCTTCTTGTTGATAAAACCCTTGGCTTTACTTGATATACTTGAAGAGCCCTATCCCGAAATGTTTCGCACGCTAATGGGTTTGGACGGGTTTTGACGCGCGCGTGGCGGCTCGCGCGTGTGGCCTGCGTGATTGTATGTGATACCGTGTCGCGCACTTGGCACATGCTGGATCAACGCGGATTCACCGCGTGGTGAAATGAGAACGCGAGTATTGGACAAGATTGCTACCATCATACGGGGCCCCCACGATTTCAGCAAATGCGCGCGGGCAGAACATTTGCAATCCGTATGATAGAACACCTACAGGTGTTTGATGCTTTTATGTTGGAATGTGTGCTGAACTGGTGTGCTTGG